TTCAGGCAGAGACTGGGTTCAGTCATTCCTGGTGGGAACTTCATGGAGACTTTGATGACAGGAGTCAAGTCCTGGGGGTCACCAGATGGGGTCACTAGTTATGTAAAACTCAACCTGCAGCCGGGGAGCCTGGTGCCTTCTCTTTTCAAACCACCGGGTCGTAACTGGCCACAGACCTCATCTGCCATTGTGAGATCGTTGAGTGCAGTGGCCCTCCCTGGGGACCTGCTGTCTGCCTCACCCTCGGTAGTAAGGCAGAGCTGGGACTGGAGGAGGCCACCGTCAGGGAGGGACAGTCCTTCCCAGTAGGTCATCTCCTACCGGCAGGAGTCCTCTTGTCTCTGGAATCTGGAAAAGAGCTCCAGAGGGTGGCCCTGCTGCCTGACACCAGCCCTGAGGAACCGGGGTCTTGCTGGAGCCGCGGAGAAGGGGCACCTCCACGTCCAAACAGCAATGCTTGAAGCCACTGCACGTTTCAGGGGACTCTGGTGCTGGGCCGAGCAGCGTCCTGGACCATCTCTGATTTTGAGAAGGGACCAGGCCCACAATCTGCTTAAATCCAGGGAGACAAGAGGGAAGGGGCCTCTTCCTGCGGTGGTCGTGGTGAGGAGTGAAGAACCGTGTCCTGGCTGGAAATTGCTGTAAACCCCGGGGAGGGCACTGCAGGAAGCCAGCGTGGGCAGCTCAGTCTGCCAGTCAAACCAGCCCCCCTCGTGCTTCAGGTGTGGCTCCTGGTGGGCATTTGCAGTGTCTGGGACGCGCTGGGTCCTGCTGGAGGTATTTAGCGAGTGTGATTGGCAGCTCGAGTCACGCTTTCCCCTTCCCTCTTCTGTCCCTGTGTGAGGTGCCCTCTCCCTGCAGAGCTGATCTCATGGATGGCGCCTCAGAGACCTGGGCCTGGCTGGGAGATAAGGATGTTGTTCTTAAAGAGATCCTGCGCCTGCTGCAGCTTTCAGTTCATAAACCAAATTCCTCTTACGAGCAGCAGCCGCGCAGCCAGAGCGCTGGGGCACGGGGCTCCTGGGGGGTGGGGCCTTCACCCCTGTGCCTACCGGCCCTGGTTCATAGCTGGAGCCAGAGTCTGAGAGCAACTGGAGGGCAGGCCTGTGCCTCTTCCTGTCCCCAGGGAAAGGCCCGCTGGAAAGCAGGCCCCAAGCACATGCGTGGGCAGGGACTGCTGAGGGGGGTTGTACCAGCAGGCCCAGAGTGGCTCACTCTGGCCTCTGCCTTGCCCTGGTCACCTCCTTTCTTGGGTGACAGCATCAGCCCATCCTTCTGGAAGTCACTGTAGGACCTGTACAGCAAGAGCGGTGACCGTTGCTAAACGCCCTGCTGTCTCTGGGCAGAACTGTTTCTGACCAGACAGGAAACCTTGGGGTAGCTGAGGGACCTCGAACACTCAGCATGGTTTACACCCAGCAAACACCAGGAAGGACCAAGGGCCGGGCGTGTGGAACGTGCTGCAAGGGTCAACATTGTTTTCAGTAGACGGAATCAAAATACTTGCTGTCCAGTTGGTGGCCAAGTGCGCAGGGTCAAGAGCGCTGTCAAGAGCAGGCCTGGCTGCACACTATGGCCCCTTGTTACCCAAACGCCGGAGAATTTCAGAACACTGACAGCAGAGCACTAACCCACATGTGGCAGCCATGGCCCCCCACAGGTGCACCGTGCAGCCAGCGACCCACCCTGGGCATTCTGTGTGGACGTTAGATGTGGTGAAGACTCTGGGAGCTGGGCATGGTGGCCACACCCTTGCAGTCCCAGCAGCTCAGGAGGCTGAGGCAGGGATTTCAAGTTCAAGTCCCGCCTCGGCAACTTAGTAAGGCCTTGTCTCAGAAAATGAAGAGGGCAGCCGAGTGTGGGGGGACGCCTGTATTCCCAGAGGCTCTGGAGCCTGAGGCAGGAGGATCGTAAGCTCAAAGCCAGCCTCAGTAACTTAGCAAAGTCCTGTCCCAAAGTAAACATGAAAAGGGCTGGGGATGTGGTTGAGTGACCCTGGGTCAACCCCTGGTACAAAACAACACAACACAAAATAAAACAAAAAAACAATAAACACCCCCCCCCTGGAAAAAAAAAAAACAAACCAAAACCAACCAAACAGTGGTCAGCGGCAGAAAAGGCTGGCCTCAGAGCAGCATGCACCGAGCCTTTGGCACGGGGCCTGGTCCGTGGAAGTGCTCCCCGAGCGATTTCTCTCCATAGCACAAAGACAGGTGTGCAAGGGCAGGAAGCCAGACTCCCGGCAGAGAGGCCCTGAACAGCCCCTCTGCCCATACCAGGGCCACACACGCACCCAGGAAAGTCTCGTGTCCACCTGCCTCTGGTAGTGCGCTCATCACACAGGAGCACACAGCTCTGTCTACAGAGTCACTGCAGAGGACAGAGCTGGGCAGCATCCGTCAGGTCGGAGAAAACAACTGCCATGCTCCTCAGAGACTATCCACCATTCCCAGGTGCAGGTGAGGAAGCATGGTCCGAAAGACTCAGCAATGTCCCAGAATCACACGCGAATAAGTGCTGAGGCCACTTATTAGGCACCACCTCTGTTATTCCCCCAGAGAGCCAAGGGCTTCTCATTTCCATTTTAAGATGAGAAAACCAGCTCACAAGAGGCATGCTGTGCGCCCAAGGTACTGGTAAGTGGCGCAGCTGCTTCTGTGGCTGCCCATTAAACACCATGCCATCTGGTCACCAAAGCCCCAAGTGGTGGCTCTGTGAGCTGCACCAGGACTTCCTTAGGGATCAGGCAGATGTGAACGGCATGTCTGCTCCGGGGTACTAGGGGTGAGCTCAGGCCGCAGCCACGTCCCTCTGCCCCCCCATGCCCACCCCATCCCAGCCCCCATCTGTGACCCGTACTCTCTGCATTACTGTGACCAGACGGTCAGTAAGCAGCAGCTTCCTGCAGAGCAGGTGAACTGCAGAGTGGAGCGGAAAGGTTGAACACGGAAGACTGCCAATGTGGCAGTGCCTCACGGAATCCAACTGGCCAACCAGGCAAATATATTTAGGAAAATAAGCCTGTGTAGCAGTGCTGTTCGCTGCTGGGGAACCAGGGGCTAGAGTTCAGGCGGTCAGTCGCTCTGGGGGCTGCGGCGGGCAGGAGCGCACCCTGACTTCACGGTTGGCCCTGGGTGGGCTCAGGTCCTTCCCTTTACCGCTAAGTGCCGTAGTTCTTGCAGGCTCACCCCGTCCCTGTGTGCCGACCAGGCAGGATGGTAGGGGACTGGCAGGGAACCCACACGATGCCTCCGAGGTGTCAGACCAGGCTGGGCAGGGGGTGCAAGGCTCATGGCATTAGTTGTGTGCGGAGTTCAGATTTTGCATCATAAAACATTACAAACTGGCCAAGGAGTGTCAGGGAGATGCTGGGTGGGCCAGAGCTCTCGTTGGAACTGTGGCTGCTCAGAAGGACCAAGCGGCTGCTCTCCTTCGCCAGTGTACCTCCCTCTCTCCCATTCCTGATTTTGGATTTCCATCTTTTGCAGTCGGCCTGGCCCAAGTGTTTTTCTCTTAGGGAAAGCAGAAGGCCAGTTCCCTTCTGCGATTCCTTGTGATTGGACACTTGACCGATGGGTGGGTGCCTTGTGAGTTAGCCTCTGGCCTTCCCCTGCATGTGTGCACAGAGGACCCACGGCCAGCGTGGGGCCCAGTGGCCCAGAGGGCAGGGCCTGGGGACATGCTGGCCTGTAGAGTCAGTGTGCTGTGGAGGTGCTCAGGCCCTCTCTGAGACTTTGAGCTGTGAAGTGTCTCACTCCCCTGGCATCCCGGACACGCAGAGGGCAGGCCGCGTGCCCCAGGGCTCCAGGAAGGCGGAGGTGAGTGCACGCATCTTAGCACAGCCCTGGAAATGCTGCCCTTGCCCTCACTTTTGTCTCATCCTCCCTCTTCCCCCTGCGCCCACCCTGACTGTTCCTTAGCATGAGGAGGGCGTAGGGGGCATGTGACATTTCCCTTCATGGTGGTGACATCAGAAGGCCATCTTCACATGGCCTTTCCTTGTCATCCCTCGTGGGGAGGAGAGAGTTGGAGGGCAGCCCTTCCTGTTCCCGCGTCAGGGAAGCCGTCCCTGGCACCGTCACAGCCGCTCCTTCGTGCCCGGACCCCCTCCTTGCCCTCGCCTTCCCTCTGAAGCCTCTCATCTGTCCTCTGTCTTCCAACCGAGTGAAGCTGGCTGGTCTGGCTTCACCCTGCCGGGTTGGCTTTCACACGTTGCCGGATGATCGACTGACCCAGTGGTCAGGTGCGGCAGCGTCAGCAGGTGGCCTTTCAGGATGGACATGTTGGTGCTGTGGAGCTCCCTCCCTCCCCAGGCCCCCTGTTGGTCCTCCCTGGGCTCCCCCACTCCTTCCCTCCTGCCTCGACCGCTGGCCTTCATTGCTGCCCCCTCTCCTGTTCCTGCGCCTCTCCTCCTCCTGCGCCTCTCCTCCTAGGGTCTGATGTTTTCCCTCTCTCAGGCTTTGAGGCCCCTCGTGATGAGGAACGGGGTGGGGGGGCAATGAGCCCCACCCTTCTCAGGACAATGAGCCCCACCCTTCCCAGGACAGCCCATGAGACCACTCGTGACTGCGTCCCCTAAATTCCCAGGGTGGACTCCTTCTCCTGACCAGCCTCTCTGGAGGAGGCCATGTCTAGTGAGCCTCCTGTCCTTGTCTCCTGGCGGACAGGGGACGTGGGGCCTGGGCTCCTGTCTGTGAATGGAACCATTAGCATTGGTGCTTGGGCCGTTCCTTCTGGACAGTTCTCCCCAGCTCTGTGGGGGGCCTCCGTCTGTGCCACCTGTCCTCTGTGCCTGAGTCTTTCTGAGGATCACATGGGGCCCTGGGGCACCCTTGTGCTGGGCAGCTCATCCCAGCGGTGACTGTGGACACGCTCAGCCTTCACAGGCTCAGGGCAGGAGGACTGTGAGTGTCCTGCCTGACTGGGGCTTGAGGCCAGCTCGTGGCCCAGCCAGTAAGCGAGGCTCCAGATCCTGGAGGGGAAGGACAGGGTGGGCTGGCCGAGGCCCGCTTTGCTCAGTCACCCCCGCACTCTGGAGTCCCTCACTGTTTGTGCCTTCCTTCCGTCAGGTCAATGTCCTGCCTGTGCTCATGATGAAGAGGGACCTGGCTCTTGCGGGCACGCTGACTGGCCTGGCCTTCCTGTTGCTGCTGCCATCTGGATGTCCTCAGCAGACGGTGGATGACGCCTGCTCTGTGCAGATTCTCGTCCCAGGCCTCAAAGGTAACAGCTGGCCGGGCATGGTGGCGCACGCCTGTAATCCCAGCAGCTCAGGAGGCTGAGGCAGGAGCATGGCAAGTTCAAAGCCAGCCTCAGCAAAAGCGAGGCACTAAGCAACTCAGTGAGACCCTGTCTGTAAAGAAAAGACAAACTAGGGCTGGGATGTATCCAGTATCCCTGAGTTCAATTCCTAGTACCAAAAAAGAAAAAAAAGGTGACAACTGGTCCTGTGTCTGGGGCTCTGGCCCCACAGTGGCCTCCAGGGGGCTCAGGGACCCTGCAGCGTCTGTCTTACAGCAGAAACCCTGAGCCTGACTCCGGGTCCAGGGACAGCCAGGCTGGCTGCTCCTTGTTGTACCTCGGCTTCCCCCGTGTCACCCAGGTTGGGTCACGGGGTGTCGGGTCTTCTTCAGCAGAGGAACGGTGGGACTCTGGGGTCAGCAGTCTGTGTGCAGCTCAGCCTTCCCCTGGGATCCCTGGGTCGGGGCGCCGGCTTGGACTCAGCCCGGGAGGATCTCATTGGTCTTTTGGACAAAGGAGGGAGCTGGAGGCGCAGACGCAGTTGTGAGCCAGGCGCTTTAGAAGCCAGCCTGGTGGTGGCCTGTGCTCCTTCCCTTGGCCTTGTGGACCTGGGGTGGCGCTCGGCACGAACTGTCCTGCCCAAGGTCCCGCAGTGAGCTCCCACTCTGCCTCCGGACAGTTCTTCCTTTTAAAAATGAGAACTTTCTTTGTTGCTCTCTGTGACTTGCTTCCAGGTAGAGACGGCTCTGCAGGCCAGGCCTGGGGCGGGCCACGGTCTGAGGAAGGTCCTCGAGGCACCAGCTCTGGTGCCTTCCAGTGGAATATCCACTTGGGAACGTCTCGGGCCAGAGACCTCGGAGCTGTGTGGGGTGGGAGGAGCTGCGGGCGCAGCTGCCTGCGTGCCCAGTGGAGCCAGCAGAACAGGGTCAAGCGGGCACACAGGGCCACGTGAGCTGCCCTCCTGAGTGAGGGACGCGGTGCTGGGCCCTGGCCTGGGAGGAGAGGGTGGTTACAGCCACTTTCCACACCCCAGATCCAGTTTTGCCTCCTGCTCCTCCCTACACGGGCAGCCTGGGCTGTGGGCCCTGGAGCCAGCCTCTGCCTGGGCTGCTCTTTGTGTTGAGCTGTTAAGGTGGATCCTCGCAGCCTGGAGCTGCCAGATCCCTATGAGGACGCCGGGCCAGGACAATCCCAGGCCTCTGCGCTTTGCACCAGGTCAGGCTGTGGCGGCCAGTGTGCCGTGCTGTCCTGGTGCCCTCTCTAGGGCCTTCAGGACATCACCGCTGATCCCAGGCCTGGAAGCCAGCAGCTAGGCTCTGCCCAGGGAGCTGTCTTGGGGGTTCTCCAATAACCAGCTGCTGCAGGGGTCCCTGCGCCACCTGGAGGCCGAGTTCTGGGAACTGGTTTTGGGCCCTGACTTTGAGGGCGTGTGAATGGGTCTGTGAGTGGGAACTTCAAGTTTAAGTTGGGAGACGTGACTGTGGAGGTCACGTCCCTGTCCACCATGTGGGACTCCCGAGTGCTGGTTGGCTCTACCGTGTCTGCTGTGTCCTGCAGGACAGTGGGCATGGGCTCCAGGCTCCTTCCAGGTGGTTTTCTGTTCTGTCATGAGGAACTGTCACCCATCTGGCTGTCCCTTCTCGTAAGTGCAGGTGGGGAAGAAGGCTGCTGGGGGAGACGGCCCACATGCGCCTCACGCACGCTGCAGGGTGACAGGCTGCCTCTCCTCCCTGGCCGGGCCTCTCTAGCCATGGGATCCCAGCCTCCCTTCCGCAGGGTTTGTGGTGAGGGTTCCTGTGCGTGGCCATGGCAGGACTCCATGCCCCCCCGAAGGGTAGACAGTCGGCAGTCGGATCTGGACTGCAGTTCGTTTCCCGCCTCCTAACGCGTGGCTCCACCTGGACCAAGTCTCTGGTGACAGACCAAGGGGGCAGGTAGGAGGACGCTTCAACAGACCTGACAGTTACAGGAAGGTGCGGCGCAGCTAAGGCTGGACAGGAGAGCAGAGTGTGAAATACCGTGGTCCCTAATTTCTTTTAAAACATAAAGACAAATGCCACTATTGAGGAAAGCCGGAAGGAAGCACGCTGAGCCGTCACCACAGCATGGTTCTGAGCCTGCAAGCTCCCTGCATGCAGCAGACCTGGCTCTGCACGCACAGGAAGGCAGCATCAGCACCGGGTCTCCCAGCTGGGATGCACTTCTCAGGGCAGTTCTGAGCCAGGCGCTTTAGAAGCCAGCCTTGGTGGTGGCCTGTGCTCCTTCCCTTGGCCTTGCGGACATAAGTGGCACTCGGCATGGACCGTCCTGGACAGGTGGCCAGCCAGGTCTTTCCTCTCTTCCTGGCCAGCTTACCTCCTGGGCAGAGTGGCACCTCCTCCATCATGGTTTGTCTGCACTTGAACCCAGTGTGGGGTCAGTGATGAGCTGGCAAAACTGTAAGGCCCCGTGCTGCCCGTGGGGTGGGCAAACCCATCCCTCTGCAGCCTGTCGACCTACTGAGCGCCACAGTGGGCAGGTAGGTTCTGAGCAGGGTCCTACCAGTGCTCAGACCCTGAAGGGCTGCTCATTGGGCGGGTGGAGAGACTTGCTCCTGGGTGGCCAAGCGTGTGGAATGTGCAAGCCGCGTGCGCTGGAGCCCACCCTCTGCATCCGGGGTGTAAATCCCTGCTTCCTGAGACCAACCCTGTCATCTGTCAAGGCCAAGGGGATGTCCACTGCGGGAATGTGGTGACACAGCTACTCAGGCCCTTGGAAACCTGACTCTCTGACAGTGGACGTGGCCAGGAGTGCTCTGTAATACTGGGTGTGCTAGCTAAAGCAGAATCAAAGACTTCCATGGTTGCGGTGTTGCAATGGGGTGGCAGGGCGAGTGTAGAGGGAAGCAAGTTCCAGGTTTCCAAGCCGTAAAAGCTCAGGGTTCATGTAAGTTTTTGTGAACCATGAGCAGACAGACTGGCGTCAGGAGAGAAGGCCCTGGCCTGGAGACAGCACCCTCCTGGTCCTCACACACAGGGGCGGGGGGCGGGGGTTACCCCCCAGCCCGGGACAGCCCACGATATGCTCAGCACACGTCAGCAAGTGGGCGAATGCCACTCTTCTCTGGGTGTCTTACCTGGACCAGGACTCACAGGCCCTGTGGAGAGTGACGCTCACACACACAGCGCCAGGAGAGGAGGGAGAAGTGGCCTCCAGCCCCAGCCCCTCCCCGCTGAGCCCTGTGCTGTGTGGGTTTCCTGTTCCTGGACAGGGATGCAGTGACCAGAGGGCCCAGCCCCTGCTGCCCGGCTTCTAGATGGTAGCTTGCAACTGTCCAGGGAGGTGAGAGGTCTCCCTGCATCACGTGTCCCGTGAAGATCAGCAAGTCAGAGGGGAGCAGGGGAGGGACGGTGGAGCCTGACGGTGCTTGTCAAAACTGATGAGTCAGAAATCATGGTGGTCCACGAAAGGAGACTATTTAAACACAGTACAGCTCTTGCTTTTAAGGGGAAATAGGAACACGGTGGCCGCAGGTTCATGAGACGGAATTTACTGAGAATCTTGCAGGGCTAGGCTCAGGGCTGGAGAGAAGAGCAGGGCCTCTCTGTGGAGGAAGGTGCCTGTCTGTGAGACTCGGCACATGCCCTCCTGGCCTTGGGCTCCCGGGACTTTGCAGGTCCACCTGTGGTTGTCGAATCTTCTCAGCACATACACCAGGCGGCCCCTTGACTGTGTTCAACAAAATGCATCTGTTGATAGTCCACTGTGTCTGCATTTAGAGAGAGATGGACTTTCCTTAATGGTTAAAGACCTTGCTGTAGGTGGGGACACATGTATTTAAAAAATTTTTATTTTAAAACTTTTTAACATTGGTGCATAATAATCATACCTAACAGTGAGGATCTTGTTACGTATGGGAAAATGTGGATACGTATCAGGGAGACTGCTGCTCAGAAGTGACAAAGGGCAGGGTTGTTCTTACAGGTTTTATCAGATTAATTACAAATTAATTGACAGTAATCTCTCAAAACGAGGGCGGCCAAGCTAGCTGGGTTCTGCCGGACTCTTGCTTAGCTGGCCCAGGCACTGGCTCTGAGGCCATGCCTCTCCTGCTCGTGACCCTCGCAGACGGGCTGGTTCAGGGTTAGGAGCCATGTATTGACCAGGAACATCCCGGCCCTCCTCAGCTGGCAGCAACTATGTATCTAAGTATCTCATGTTGTGGATCTTTCTAGTGCAAAAAAGGCCCAAGTGCAATGTGGGCAAACCTGTGTAGGATGTGCAGGAGGCGAGGGCGGGTGGAACCCTGCCCCTTTTTTCTGTTTCTCCGAGAGGAGACACGTCAGTGGTGGAGCAGGAGCGGGGAGTTGAAACTCTGACCCCGCTGGCAGAGATGAGCCTTGTCCTTAGAGCTCTGCATGATAACTTGGTCCCCCTACGTGGTGTCTAAGAGGACCCGTATCTTTACGAAATGCTACACCACATTCCCGCGTGAAAGAGGAGATGTTGAAACCCTGGAGCGCTTCGGAGGGTGGGAGCTGCTTGATTTTGTTCAGTGTGGTTCTCAATTGCAGGCCACCCTGGGCTCTTCTGTCTATTTCCGGCTGTCCGAGGGGCAGGTCACTGCTGGGTGGAAACTCAGTGCTAGCCCAGGTCCTGTCGCCATCCTTTACGGGGTGCTGTTTTGAAACAGTGCTGCGTCTGTTCAAATGTATCTGTGTGCATTTATGACACTACTGTGGGTCACACGTAAACCCATCCACTCGTCCATCGCCTGGGCACCAGCTCCCTGAGTCCGGTGTCCCTTCAGCCTGCAGCACTGTCCTTAGGAGTTTAGGGAGGTGCAGACAGCTAACCACATTGTGGTTTTGCTTTCTAATTAGTGGTAGGCTGATGGTGGAGAAGAGCCAAGGCCCTGGGGGAGCCTGTCACACAAGGCACAGCGCCCTGCTCGTCCCTCCAGTTGGGGGCCTCTGTTGGGTCTGCTTCTGGGCCGTGAGTCCCACTGTGGTGGGCGTGTTTGCATAAGCTCTGCTTGGACATCTTGGGTGAGCGCAGGTCTGGGAGCAGACGGCTGGGTCTATGTGCCATGTGCCCAGCTCTGAGAGGCTGCAGAGCCACCCACTGCTTCTCCCTGACTCTGGGTCAAGCCGCAGTGTGTGAGGGAAGCCTACCAGTCCTGACACGGTGCCGTCCACTTATTTATTTTTATGCGGTGCTGAGGATCAAACCCAGTGCCTCACACATGCTAGGCAAGCGCTCTGCCTCTGAGCCCCAGCCCCAGCCCAGTGCCACTCATTTTTAAGGTGTTTCTTACATGTTGGTTGGAAAGTATAGTCTGTGTATTTTCTGCTTAATTTTAAAACATCAAAGTTTTTTTTTTTTTTTTAATCTTTTCTTTTTGGAGCTGGGGATTAAACCCAGGCTCTGTGGTGGGAGTCAGGAGCTTTGCCACCGGCTACATTCTAACCCAATCACAGTCTTTTTGTCGGTAGTTTTTAACACCGACCATTTTTTAAAATAGTTTTGCTGGCAATAAAAAGAAAAAAGATACTGTAACTGTCAGATTTCTCTTTGGAGGTGAGATGAAAAGACATCTGCCCATCAGAAATAAGTGCCTACAGGTGACATAAGTGACCCAGTTGTCCTCAGAGGGGTGTCGAGGCTGGCAGCACGTGGGCCGGGCAGCGAGGAGCTGGTCTAGAGTCGTGCACTGCTCTGTGCTTGCCCGTGGCTGGCTCCAAGCTGCAGCGGTGGAAATGCCACGTGAGCCGGGTCCACGCTAGAGCAGGGGCTTCCTGGTCAGCCAGGAGATGCGGGGTACACCGTCACGGAGCTTTCAGCCCAGCGGAGAGCAAGGGCAAGGCTGTGGCACAGGCCATGCAAGCACCCACCCTCGTCCAGTCTGATCGTCTCTGCTGGACTTCTGCCATGGTGCACTGCCCTGCTGTGTGGGTGACCATGCTGTCCCAGGCCTTGTGTGTACATCTCAGGGCTGGCCGCTGCTCCAGCCTCTCCCTCCAGCCTCCTGGCTCACCTGACCAGCTGCAGTGCCCTGTCCCTCTCCTCAGAATGCGTCTCTTGCTCTGCTTGGCCACGTCCAGCTTGTTCAGCAGCTTCACCTTAAAGCGTCTCTCAGAGAGGCGGCCGGTGTCCTGGCCCACACATGTCCCTGTGTTGATGCTGTGGCTCCTTCTCTGTTTGCGGGGTTGCTAGCGAGCGCTCCTGTCAGTCTGCTTCTCATTCGCATGCACACAGGCCCGAAGAGCTTTCCTCCTGGGTAGCTTACAGACGTCCGGTAGTGACAGACATTCTGCCTGCCACCTGCGATGTCTGGGTGACGTTCCCCGTGTGGGTCTCAGGGGGCCTTTTCCTCATGTTCCATCATGTCCTTCCTTAATGTTGGAAGTCGCAGTCACTAGGCCTTCAAATGTCCACTGGCTCCTTCTGTCCTCTGTAGGGTGGACATTAGCATCATGAGGTTTTTCCTCGATTCTCAACTTGGCTCAAATGAACACCAGCGAAGCTTCCTGGTGGCTTATCTCAGTGCTGCGCAGTCGAGTCCTTGGCGTGCTCTGCCTCGTGGCGAGGTCCTCCTCGCTGGCCCTTCAGCCTGCCTTGGGGGCTTCTTCTCCAAGGCGCTCCCTGCACAGGGCTCGGGCGCTCCCTTCCCCACTGACTCCTGTGGTGGGACGCTGCTCCTCTGCTGTCTGGGCCAGGCGCTGGCCACTGGCCACGGGGGAGTCTGTCACCCACTGCGCCCTTGCTGGCTGGTCCTCCCCTGGCACCGGGCAGATGTCCACGCTGTGCGCACCCTGCTGGTTGACATCCCTTGCTGGGTTGTCAACGTTTCTCTGAGAACTGCTGCTGGTGCATTTCTTTCTTTTTAAAAAGGTAAGAGAGAGTTTGAGAATTACCCAGAGACTGAGGGCCGTGCATGAATGGGGCCAGGTGCCAAACCTACAGTAGGCCAGAGGCTTTCAGCAGGTAGCCAGTGCCTGTTGCTGTAGGCCAGGGCGACCTTGGGAGGTCTCAGGTCTGTCTCTCCTTCTTGATGTCTCTCACTTTGCTTTTCTTCTTGTTTAATTAAATTTAAAATGACTGTCCCCTCGGTCAGGCCAGATGGTCAGTTTTGGGGATTTCATTGGGGGGTCGATAATCTCCGTTAAGCCTTTCACCAAGTCAAAGGGTGTGTGGAGAACCACAGAGGATTAGTGTACTTGAATGGTGGCTTGCACTGTGCAGAAGTGTGCACACACACATGCACACTCTCTCTCTGTTCCTAGCAGCACTGGTGGAACAGGTAAGGAGGTGAGGTCACAAAAAAGCTGTACATTTGCAACAGGGTCCCAGCACCTAACAGGTCAGAGAAGCCGCGGGAGGGCCAGGTGAGAGGTGGAGCCTGGTGTGTTGATGAGCCAGAGGTAGGGAAGAAGTCTGAGGTCTGGACATGGTTGGTGACTAAAGTCAGCTCTGTGTGCCTTTTGAGAAGGGAAAGACGTAATATGGTCTTTGTCTTAGGCAGATGATCTTGGTGAGGGTGAGATTGGGAGGGAATGCTGGGGAGGAGGTGTTAGAGTCCCTGTCTTCCGTGGCCCCAGCCCCTCTGTGCACCTCCCTGTCCCTGTCTGGCAGGCGTCTCCTCTTGTTGCTCACATCTGTCTCCTTACTGGTGTCTGAACCCTGGAATGGAGTGGCCGTGCCCCCTGGCCCAGGTGTCCACCCCACTCAGCAGTGTGTGTGACATGGGGCTCGTGCTCAGGGAGAAGAGGTGGTGTCCAGCACATCCCATGGCCCAGTGGCTTCCCGGGGGCCCTGTGGGGCAGTGAGCGGCTTCCTCTCTTCTCCTTGGTGTTAGGATGGACCCCTGAGGATGAACTGGGAGTCAGTTCAGAGGGAACGTCTGAGGGGCATCTGAAGGGTGGACAGAGTCATCTAGGATGGTAGCGCAAGGCCTAGAGCCTCAGGGACAGATGGGCACACTGAGACTTGGGGAGGGTGGGCGGGGTGGAGAGGGGCACAGCAGGTGCACACGTCCACACAGCACCTGGGGTCCCGGCCAGATCAGTTGCTAAACAGATGTGACTTCTTCCACAGGGGACGTGGGAGAGAAGGGAGACAAAGGCGCCCCGGGAAGGCCTGGAAGAGTCGGCCCTACGGGAGAAAAAGGTACCTGCAGTCCCCGGCCCTGTTGGGGGGAGGGAGGTGGGTGATGAAGAGGAGGGAGACCTCATGTCGCAGACTGCTGGGGAGCAGCGAGGGAGGCCCTCTGCAAATAGTGCAGCTGACCAGCGGGCCAGGAGGTAAAGCGTCCTGGACGTGTGCTGGCCCTGGCCTCCCTGAGCCGTTCCTGTCCAACAGGTGAGGGTGCTCCAGATCCTGTGTGAGCACTAGGGAGGAGGTGGGGCAGACCTGGGGCTTCAAATGGTGCCTCTGGAGTCGGCTTCCCTGGCAGATGGCAGAACTCTGCTTGCCTCGTGGGAGTGAGCTGAGGCCAGGTCACGCGAGAGGGAACGATCCTGCGAGTGGAGGAGCTAGAACAACCGTGTGGCAGAGCTGGATGGCCGTGCAGAGGGGCTGGGTGTGCGTGGGAAGGCACATGTGAGCAGGAAGCGGGAATGCAGTGCGGGATCGCGGGCGGCTCTGATTTGGCTCTTTTCTCCTGACGAGTGCCTTGGGGACCGTTCTGCTTGTGGGTGTCCGGGGCTCCTCAGCCAGGCAGTGAGGTGTGCGTGGATTTGTTTGATCTCCGTGGGCTCCCAAGTTCCTGGATCTGCTGCTGGAGAGCCCCGAGTGGGTTTCGCTGAATGTGTTGAGGTAGCACGAGGACAAATCCTCGCCGTGCACCTGTGGCATCAGAGGTGCGCTGGGGGTTCTGGTAGATGTGCTGAACCACCCCTTTGTCAGTGACATTTAAGAAGGACTGGTCTGGCCTGATGTGCTCTAGTGAGTTGGAAAGGGGCAAAAGCCGACACGGAACTGCCTAACAAACTTTAGAAGGCATAGAGGATGCTAGAAACCAATGAACCAGAATATTAGTAGATAACTGAGTTTTAGGATTATGGACATTTACGTTTTCTTGTTCACATTTTCCATATTTCCAACAATGTTTATGTTCTGCAGTCGTGGAATTATTTTTATTATTAATTTTGTAGTACTGGGATAGAATCCAGGGCTTCACACCTGCTAGGCAAGTGCTCTACCATTGAGCTCTAGCCTGTGACCATCTTTTTTATTTTTTTGCAGTACCGGGGACTCATCGCAGAGGCACTCTACCACTATAGAGCTATATTCCCTGTACGGTTTACTATTTGTTTTGACAGGGGCTCGCTAAGTCATGGAGTCTGGCTTCAAACTTGTGACCCTGCTCCTCAGCCTTCTAAGTAGCTGGGCCACTAGGTGTGCACACCATGCTCCCCCATGTACGTGTCTTTAAAAGGTAGCTGGACAGGGGCCCTGAATGTTGATGATCAGGCTCACCTGGAGGGCCACATGCTGGGCTGGAACCTTCTCGTCTCCCTAAAATATCAGGCACTTGCTCCTCTGCCCCACACTCTGCTTGCTCATGGCCACATGCTGCACCTTGGATCGTCCATGCCCAGAGCAAACTGAAATCTGCGAGTGGCAGAAGCACTTCAGCCCAGCAACAAAGCCTGAGGTGAGCCACGCTCAGAGAGGCTGGGTTGCTGGTTGCTTCTGTTTTTCTCCTTCTGTGGATGGAAACATGACCTCAGGGATTCTAGAAGGGGTCATAGATCCAGCCCTGCATCACTCGGAGAACTAGTCCAGAGAGATGAGGCTGCAGGGGCAGCTGCTGGATCATGCAGAGAGCGCGGCAGAGCGCGGCAGAGCGCGGCAGAGCGCGGAGCTCAGGTCCCTGCTCCTGGAAGCACACCATGTCTCTGCAGTACCTAGCCTCCCCCTCAGGCAGGTGGAGAGCCCAGCCTCCCCATCAGACAGATTGCTTTAGCATCTTGTAGCTTTTTGTGTTTCTGTGTGAATTTTAGGGTTGCTTTTTCTCTTTCTGTGAAACATGTCATTGGAATTTTGATAGGGGTGCCCTGAATCTGAAGATTGCTTGGGGCAGTCTGGACCCTTTGAGAATATGAATTCTTCCGATTCATGAACACAGGATTCCTTTCGTTCATTGGTGTTCTCTTCCTTTCGTCAGAGTCTCATGGTTCTCGGTTTTCAGTATCCAGATCTGTCACTTCCTTCGTTGAATTCATTCCTAAGTTCCTCCTTCCTGTCGTTGCTACTGAAATGACATTGCTTTCTGAATTTGCTTTTTGGATAGTTTGTCATTAGCTTATGGAAATAATAATGACTTTCATATTTTGACTTTTTATCTTTCAACTTTACTGAATTTGTTTATTGGAGTGCCTTTTGGGTGGGGTCTTAGGGTTTTTCTACCTACGAGACTGTGCCATCTGCAAACAGAGCCAACTTTACTTATTTCCAATTTGGAAGCTTCTAATTTTCTTTTTCTTCCTAATTGCTCTGGCCAGGACCTAGAGTGCTCATGTTGAATAGATGTGGCAACCAAAGGCACCCTTGTCTTGTTCTTGATCTTAGAGAGAAACCTTCAGCTTTTCATCCTTGAGTTTGGTATCAACTGTGGCCAGGCTCCTGGACTGTTTTTTTTTTTTTTTTTTTTAAATTTTTGCTGTATAAAATTTTACCAGTTATGCCTCTGGCCATCCTGAGTCTTCTGTGAGCCATTATTCGCACCAGTTCCGTTTCCCAGTTAAAATGTTCAGTTTCTCATTGGCAGAAAGAGGATTCTTCCTTCAATCTTTAGTCACTGACAAATGTTTCCCTGTAGTTGTGGCCAATGTCACTTTTTTCTTGATGGCTACTTATACTGGTGATACTCCTTTTGAAATGGTTGGGGGACTAGTGACCCATGAGTTTTGCTAGTTTGGGAGAACATGGGAGGGTCCTTCGGAGGTTTCCAGAGTGTCATTTTCCCCACCACTCTCCAGGCTCCGCTGCGCCCCTGGTGCTGTGGCCTCTAGGCCTGGCTCGGAAGCTCCAGGGCTGCCCGCTGGAGGGCTAGGTTATGAGGAGAGGGCCAGTGGAGCGCCTGCTGAGCTCTCCAGGGCACGGCAGGGGCATCCTCGAGACCAACAGGGAGGGCCAGAGCTGGCCCCCGGCTGAAGGACAGCTCTAGCCTTCGCAGGCTCACGGCCTGGGACCTGGGAAGGAGACCAGGAGTTTTTAGAAGCTCCACGAGGGTTGAAACTGCCTTCCCCTAGGAACCTCTGCTGGACTCCTGCTTCACCTCGGATCCTGTTGGGCCACAAGTGCAGGTCCTGGGCCACCAGGCAGTGGACTCTCCCAGCTCTGTCTAGATGCAGTTTCCGAGTGGACACAGCAACTAGCACCGGCTTCTCGTGGTGTCCCCGAGGCTGCCTCTCTCCAGCCCCTGGTGTGTGTCTAACCGCTGTAACACAACTGTACTTACGGCCAAGCTCTGCCTTCAATTCCTTCCAGTCCCTTTTCTGTTCAAGTCTGCGTGGCCTTGAGTCCTGGGAGGTTCCGCAGCCTCCCTTGCCCTCTGTCCCTCAGGTATGTCCTCTGGCTGGTGGCCTCCCCTCCCTGGGTCCTCAGGCACGTTCTCCTGAGAGTCCCTCCCCCCTCTCTCTCACTGAAGGGTGGACCCTTCGCTTGGGCCCCGCAGCAGGCACTTTTCTGGAAGCCCAGGGATCAGATGACCTCTAGTCTCCGTCCTGACACTGGTGCCACCTGTCTCTGCAGGCCCTGTGCCACCTCCCTTTTCAGGCAGCCTTGGTGGGCAGGGCCGAGGATCAGGCCCTGCTGCTCTCCCCGGGCCTGGCAGGCTTCCATGCCCGCTGTGGAATGCAGGTGGCCACTCGTAGTGTGTGCCAGGCACCAGGCGCAGGTGTCATTGTGGACGGCATTGTGGGGTGAGCCCTGCTGGGTTCTCTGGCTCCATCTCTCGGGGACGTCCCAGGTCTGCTCCACTTCTTCCTGGGACCAGAGCTGCGTCTGCAGTGTGGACTTGACTCTTTCCTACCCCTTTAAAAATTCTTTGGCCAGGTGAGGTGGTGCATGCCTGTAATCTCAGTGGCTTGGGAGGCTGAGGCAGGAGGATCGAGATTTCAAAGCCAGCCTCAGTAACTTAGCAAGGCCCTAAGCAACTCAGTGAGACTTTGTCTCTCAATAAACTACAAAAAAGGGCTGGGGATGTAGCTCAGTGGTTAAGCACCCCTGGGTTCAATCCCTGGTACCCACCCTCTTCAAAAAAAAAAAAAATAGAATTCTCTGCTGAGGATCACGAGCCCTGTGTCTTTGCTCTGTGCAGGACCCTGCAGCGGGCTGGCTCCTGGAGTACCCGGTGCTAGTGGCCTGGACCATGCTCCAGCCCTAGGGCCTGCCCAGCCAGTGCGCTCACCTCGCCCCCTGAGAGGGCACTGTGCAGCCTCAGGCCCACGTGGCGTGTCCTGCCGAGTGCTTCCCGGACCCTCGACGGCCTTCAGTGCTCTCTTGCTTCTCGGTCTGCTCCACGGGGAACCCTCTCTGCTACCTCTCTACCTGCACATCTCCCTGGGTACTGTTTCTGCTCTGGTAGAATACGAGAAATTACACTTCAACCAAAGTAGAACATTTTGGACAGAAAAAATCGTCCCAGTGTGAATATTTTTTATGTAACAGACATTACATATATACCATCAAGTTACTTAAATGGTGGTGGGGTGATCTAAAAGGTGGCTTTGAATTCTCTAGTGTGAGTGTGAGACACAGATAAGTGTGTCAGTGATTTTTAAACCTGTTTTGAAAAAGCAGTGGAAGGTGATTGTAGCTTGAAACAGCTGGAGGGACACTGCTGCAGAGGAGGGGGCTGGGGCTGCTTGCCCCCGGGGCCCTCGCACTGCCTGGATTGGCCTCCCACCTTAGGGCTCGGCAGGTCACACATGGAACACTCCCCCATCTGACATGAGATCCATCTGAGAAACACGTCAACTGCCTGAGACCCTCAGCTGCCCCTGGCTTGGAGGTAGGGGCACCTCTCCTGTGGCGCCAGAAGGTGGGCCAGTTAGTGACCAGTGCCCTTCAGTGGACACCATGACGCTGCTCAGTGAGCACCACAGGGGGGGGTGCCTCATACGCATTCCTTTATGTGTCTGATGCCTCTGCAGCCTACA